CGCCTAAAAGGCATGAAGTGGTCTCTAAAACTTCTCTGTGCACCAGCGCTGAAAAGCCGTCCCCTTGATGTGTACAGAACTGTGGTAGATGCAGCACGTGAATCTTGAATTGTGCACACTATCTCCTGAGGGAGACCCATCCTCTAAGTGGGACCGCTCAGCGGTCAGACCCACCGGTGTTGACCCATTTCTGGGTAACTCTTGGTCGCTCCTCCTGCCTGAAGGAGAGCATCCTTCCTCCATGACAGTTCCACGGCGACCCAACAACAGACGTTGCAGGCCTGGGAACCATGGTGCGTTCACACGCCGGGAGCCACCAGGAGAGCTGTCAATCCCTCCTCTTGAACTCGGTTCATGGACCGTAAAAAACAGAGGAGGTGGGGGAAAAGAAACGCGTAAAAAGCGTTTTGGGCCACCGACTGTGAGCAAATGCGTCCCCCCCCAGCGATGGATCGTCTCGCGGGCTCAGGGAAAACCGTAGTTGACATTGAGCGTTCTTCTCGCATCGCAAACAGGTCCACAGCTGCTTTGCCAACTTCTGCTGCGTCTGGAAACATCAGATCCGGATGGAGGATCCGGTCCACGTAACGTGGGCCGCCCTTGGACGTCACATCAGAACACCGGATATGTAAACCGCTCTAATAAAAGCAGGTTTTGATGAACCCAACTCAGTAGCTTTCGCACAATGTGTAACATCTGGCTGAACGCATACCCTGATGGTTATGTACGCAGCAGTCATCATGATGTCTGTGTGAATCAACACGTGTTGATTCTGTAGCACAGGAGCAAGGTGTTGAATCACATTCAGTACTGTGCGACACTCCAAAACATTGATGTGGGCTGATGTGTAGTGGGGCCACAGCGCCCCTACTGCTTGAGATAGGTATGTCCCCCCCCCCAGCCTGACAGCAACGTGTCTGTGAAGACTGACCCATGACGTGGGTCTGCTGAGGGGGACTCCCTCTGATAGAAAAACAAGGTGTTTCCCCAGAGTCGGAGGTCTGCTTCCACAGAGGAAAAGACAATGATCATGTGTCGTTTGTTTTACTGGATCCACATGCAGACGTGCAAAAACACCTCTAGAGGCGTCTCATGTGATAAACGAGTTTTCATGGTGGTTGAATTTAATTCCACTCCAGAAAACAAATGTCAGGGCCGGGAAAATCGAGCTTCCTTCCACTTATGGCGAAGCCCAGATTAACAGGTGTGATGTCAACACCTGATCCTGCATCAGCGCCTCCTGTCTGAAGTGACAGGATCCGCAGATCATCCAGGTAAAACAAAAAACTCTCGTCTCTGTGTTTTAGGATGATCGGTATGCGTTCTCTGGATGTTAAACAACAGATCCAAGAACGGTCGATCCGTGAGTAAAAACCCTCGTGTTTTCTCTCCCTTGGGGAACTCTGTAGATTACTTTTATCAGAAAACACTTGGATTTCTGCATTTAGGGAAGAGAATCAGTCTGATGATGATGACGGGACCGTTTATATAACTCCTCTGAATGGAGGGGTTCGGGTTGCAAACTGTAACTTGTACCATTTGCATAAACCCTGTCCATCCATCTGAAAAACGGCGAGCATGTTTAGCCACTCTACGTAACGTTCGTGGATGAACGTGCGTTAATGATGCGTCATGTTTTGTACGGCTGTCAGCAGTCCGTCCCTCAACCGCCGTCATGCGTCGCGGGAATGTTTTCTGTGTGACCCCGGGCGAGACTTGAGCTGAAGGCGAAGCGTGTGACAGCTGATGACGCGGTGAGCTGCGCGTTTGACGTCGCTGTGCGAACGTTGAAAGGCGGAGGGCGTGACTTCATTTACACCGTGCTGTTGGAGTGAAGGCTGCTTAGCCCCGCGGGAGCACACGTTGTTCTCTGGAGGGACGCGCGCCGCTCTCGCTGGAGGGGCGCGCGCTGGAGGGAGACTCATTACCGGGTTCTTCGGCTGCTTCACGTTTAAGCTGCGGTGAGCTGCCGAAAGCTGAGAGAGAAGGACCCCCACCCGGACCAGCCTGCGGACCACATTTATACCGATGTGAGCTGGTTAGCGCCGGCAGCTGTGTGCGCCAGCATCAACGCAGCGCCGTTGAATGGAGGCTGTCATCTTAGTGTTCGACTCGTCATGTCAAGAGCGGCGGTGAATTAAAAACCCTATTTAAGGACACCGGCTCATGTGGAGGCTGTTCCATCCCACGAGTGCGAGTTGACACCGCTTGAGTGAGGATCGTGCAGTTCTAGTTGGTAATGAGTTATTTTCGCTTACCGTTGTGCCGTGATCGACCCGTCATGTCTAGAGCGACGGTGAGTTTAAAAAACCTTTATTTAAGGACACCGGCTCATGTGGAGGCTGTTCTGTG